CGTTCTTCCAGAGGCCCCCACTCCTTCCTCTCCCAAACCCGCTCCCACCCACCCCTCCACGGGCGTCTGGGATGGGCCAGCGGACTGGGGCTGGTTCTCGGGGCTCTGGGGCCCCCCGACCCACTCCGCCCCCTCCCCCGACCCGCTCCGTGTGGCCATGATAGGGGCTGAGCTTGGTTCTTGTCACAAAGGGGTGTTTTTAAAGAAGACCCTCCCGACAAGTATGAGAGCCACGACAAAAGTCCCGGCCACCACGTGTCAGTCTTCGTGCCGGGCACAGGATCAGATGTGAAACACGCATGACAGTGTGCCGACTTCACGAGGAAGCCATGGAAAGCTGAGGTTTAGGAACGAACACCCCAGACCAGGATCCATGCTGGAGGCAGCAGAGCCGAGGGCTGACCCGGGGGTCCGGTTCCCGGGTGGGGTCGGGGGGCGCTCCCAGCCCAGCAGGCTGTCCCACCCACGAGCCCAGGACAGGAAGAACAGAGCCTCTGACCTGTGTCCCCTCTGCCTTCATTCTCCATATTTCTGAAGCTCTGGCTTCTGGGGCCTCGGTGATCCTACAGGGACCGTCCCTCCCGGGCACAGGAACCATTGCCTGGGAACTTGCTTTTCAAATGCAAACCAGCCCAGTGGCCCAGTGGCCCAGTGGCCCAGTAGCCCGCTATCTCCCGCCCTGGTCAAGCCGGCTGGTCTCAGACAGCAGGGACAGCCCCTGACTTGCTCAGATGGGCCCATCCTCAGCCCACGTGCCTGGCCTGGCCAAGTCCGACTAAAACCACAGGAAGGGCTCCTGCCCACACGTCCTCCTGCCTCGGCCTGCTGAGCAGCCGGCCACTTCCCAGCAGTGGTCTCCAGTAGCCTGCCCCTCCTCTGACGATCATCCCCGATGCGCTGGCCTCAATGCCCACATGCAGACGCGGGCTGGCCGGTGGCTTGGGTGTGGTGCTAGGCGGCCCCGCTGCCAGGGAGTGGGGGCCCCTCCCTCTGTCCCCATCTGCCCCTGGGGGGTCTGGGCAATCTCGGCTCCCCACTCTGGCTCTCAGAGGTGCTGATTTTGTCCGGAGGCTCAGATGGGATGTTGGCTGTGGAAACCGTGTGAGAACAGGTTCACCCCACACCCCCCACCTGTTGCCTGTCCCTCTGTTTCTCCCGATGTGGGCTCCTCACTGACATGTCCACTGACTCCTCCACGACATGTCCCTAACCTGTGACGTCCCCCTCACCTGCAGACTTGGGACCCGAGGGACAGAGGCACGCTGGCCTCCTGCCACCTCAGAGCTGGGCTGGGATTGAACCGGGTGAAGCTGCCCATGGCGAATGTCAAGAACAGTCTCCTTCTGGCCACTTCACCCCACGGAGCCCCGCGTGGCAGTCAGGCACCAGCTGTGAAAGCTCAGGAAAGACGCGGCTAACCATAGAGCACGTGGCGCATCTGGCTTCGGCCCGGCCTCCGAGAGCCTGAGAACGCGGAGCCTTTCGGAACCGAGCGCCGTGTGTGCTCTGGGGGGGAGAGGCACGCAACGTAGCTGGCCTGGCCGCCGCCCCCATGAGGTCCACACTGCCCCCAGACACGTAAGCCACACTTCCTGACCTCGGGGAGCCCGTCCGCAGGTCAGGGGACCAGACGTGTTGAGGGTGGCCGCAGGAGTAAGTGGGATGCCCCACGGAGAGCGCGGACAGCAGAGCGGCCTCCCCTCCCTGTCCTGGGGCAGCCACGGCGCAGGACCACGACAGAGGGGCACGACGGAGGGCCACAACAGCTTCCTGCAACAGAAAGGATGCTCTCCCAGTCTGGAAGCTGCAAGTCTGAATCCTGGTGTTCCCGGGCCGTGCTCCCTCCAGGGTTCCAGGGATGGTCCTTCCTGCCTCTTCTAGCTCCTGGGGCTCCAAGCATCCCTGGGCTGTGGCCACGCTACCCTCCACCCTCCCCCAACAGCCTCTGCCTCCGTGCTCTTGTGGCTTTTTCTTTCCCTGTGTGTGTGTCTCCTCTCGCTTCTAAGGACACCTGTCCCTGGGTTTAGGGTCCGCCCAGGTAATCCAGGATGCTCTCCTCTCAAAACCTTCACTCACTTCTGCCAGACCCTTTTCCCCCATAAGGCCGCCCTCCTAGCCTGCAGACTTGCCACGGACGGTCTCCCAGGGCCCCATGCAGCCCACTGCAGGCGTCACGCCACGGTTCTTACTGCCACCAATGGAAAGCCTGGCAGGTGTGAGGCTCCACTCATGGCAGGGGACAGAAAACGCCAGGTAGGACCTCCCCACAGGATAGGGATGGGATAGTCAGCATGGCGGGGCAATGGAGGCGTGCTGGGGACAGCTGCCCAGGAAAGCCGGCGGGGCGGGGCGGAGGGAGTGTCTGGAGGCACTGAGGAAGGTCCTGAGGCTCCAGCATGTTGCAGGGGGAGCAGGCCGGGCAGGTAGGGGTGCGTCCCGCAGAGGACACCAGGCCACCTGGCCTGCAGGCTGCACACATGGTTCGCATTTTTAGGCAAAGCACAGGAAGGCCGGGAGCTGGGGAGTCAGCAACCTTCGTCTGGGCTCGGGCTGGCCCCCTGTGTCAGGGGAATGAGCCCGAGGCCCCTGGGAACCACGGGGACACAGCATCTTTCCAGCACTGTTTCTGATGTGGAGCAGGTGAGCTCGGGAGTCCCCAGCAGCCACAGACAGAACACAGTCGGCGGAAGAGGAAATTCCTCGTGCGGAACGTCTCGGGCTCTACGGCTCTGCAGAACACAACTTGGGAAAGTATTTTAACCCCAAAACATCTGCTGACTGCTGGCACCCAGGGTCTGTGGCCCGCATATGGTGGGAAGGGGGGTCCTTGGGAAGGGGAACCAACCTCTGTGGACCACCTGCAGCAACGCCCGCCAGTGACCCCTCATGAGACCCAGCCCCAAGCCAGGCGCTGAGCTCTACACCAAGGGCCAGTCCAAGAAGGGGGAAACTGAGGCACGGGGGTGGCAGGTCCTTCTTTCAAGGGCCAGGACATGCCCACGCTCCTGCCTCCCATGCATCTCTGCCACAAACCAAAGGACCTCGGGAGGAAGCGCCATGGAACCACCCAGAAGGCGTGGCCGGCCTGACTGGACATGGGGTCTGCAGCCTGCCGCTTCCTCCCCTTCAGGCATCGGGCGGGCGTCGGGGGCACTGGCATCCAGGATGGGCTGAGGAGGAAGGCTCGGGCCAGCCCACACTGCCTGGACATCTCTGAGCTCATCCCTGTGAACGGGCAGCACACCCCTCCCATTTCCAGGGAACTGGCCCAGACGCCCTCGGTCCAGCCCTCTAGGCCCCAGAGGACACGAGAGGATTTAGGGCGGGTGGTGAGTGCAGCGGCTCCAGCAGATCTCAGAGAGGCTCCCAACAGCAGGTGAGAAGCCTCGGTGCCCCTCCAGCCAAGCACCTGCTCTGCCCAGGTGAGGAGACAGTCCTCCGAGGACACTGGGGGACTGGCATGGGGACATGGGTCTGGGGAAGCAGACAGAGGTGCTCTGGGTCCCCTTTTGGGTCAACGGGCAGGTGTACCTGTTCTGAGAGTCCGGACACTGAGCCGTCCCAGCACGTCCCCCTCCCTGGCACAGCCTGGCCTCCCCACCGCTGGCCTCCAAGCCCAGAGTCCACTCAGCCCTCTTGACATACACTGGGGACATCACAGCCCAGAAAGGAGAGGGCCAGCACAGTCACCCATGACACCAAAGGCTGACCCAGCTCGCTGGACCTGAGAATGAGCCGCCATGTGCCCTGATATGGGACAAGGCTCGAGGGGACAAAGGCGAGACTCCACGGGGGACAAGGGCAACCAAGAGAAGGATGCTTGGGGTGCCAGGCTGGGGTGCTCAGAGCAGGCAGAGGAAGGGGAGTCAAGAGGAGAGCAGATCCTTAGGGTAGATGGGACCTGGGTAAGTGGGGAGGGGGTCAGGGTACCCCAGCAGGACACAGCCCAGCAAAGGTGTGTGAGGGGAAGCCAAAGGGTGTCAGGTGAGCCCTGTCTCTCTCTGTCCACCATCTGTTTCCCTCTTCATCTCTGACTCTTTCAGTTTTACCTGGTCTCTGTCCCCCACCGCTGTCTCTGTCCTCCCCCCATTGCTCTCTGCACCCCACACCCCCTAACCTGGAGCCAGGGTCTTGCCAGCCTCTGAGTTGGCATCTCTGGGCTGAGAACAAGGCCCACTGTGGGTCTGGGAGGAGGGGTATAGGAAAGGGACAGCTTTCGAGAGACCCTCAGCTGCCCCAGTAGACGTCCCTGGGACCCAGTCTCCCTCCCCTGGAGACTGTCCTAAGCAGGGCACAGCCTGGACAGGGACAGAACTGTCGGCTGCTGGTGGCAAGCACTCCCATTAGCTTCTCCCCAGAGGACCCAGGGCTCTGGAACCCATCGCTGCAGTCAGAGCAGCCCGTCCCCAACGTCCCTACAGCAGGAGTGCTGGGGGGTTTAACCTCTGCCCGGGTGAGGCTGGGGTCTCCGCAGCCCTCTCACACCCTCCCAGCCACCTGCTGCTCCCACCACAGCATCTTCCTTCCCCTCTTGCCAGCACAGGACAGTGTCCTTGGGCCTCAGAGCCTCTGGGGTGGGGGACTTAGCAGGAGTGGAGTCCAGGCCCTCCTGGTGGGAAGCCAGGTCCCGATAGAGGAGGCAGGAAGCCCCTGCATGGCAGAGCCTCACGGGGGTCCCTGTGCCTGCGGGACCTCTGTGCCTGCGGACCTCTGCCACCGCGCAGGGCCCTGGAAATCTTAGGTGCCTTCCGTGGAGCCCCCCCTCGCCAGGAGGAGGGCAGGGCCCGCACCCACTAGTCAGCGCCCCGCCCGTACCCCACACTAGGCACAGCTTGCCACCCAGTCTGAGGCCCGAAGTGTCAGGCCTGGCCAGGGAGGGTGGCCCCCTGGGGCCGGAACACCACGACCTGGGGCCATGCTCCGCCCCCTAAGCGGGGCCCACTGCCAGAAGCGCTGTCTGCCGCCTCCCCCCAGGGCCGCCCGCAGTGGAGCCAGCCGGGATGTTCGGGATGTTCGGGCTCTGGAGAACCGTCAACAATGTGCTCTTCTACCTCACCCTGGCCGTGGGCCTCGCAGGCCTGCTGGGCAACGGGCTGGTCCTCTGGCACCTGGGCCTGCACATCAAGAAGGGCCCCTTGTCCCTGTACCTGCTCCACCTGGCGGCCGCCGACTTCCTGTTCCTTGGCTGCCAGGTGGGCCTCTCCGCTGCGCAGGCCGCCCTGGGCGCCCAGGACAGCCTCTACTTCGTGGTCCCCTTCCTGGGCTTCTCCGCGGGCCTCTGGCTGCTGGCGGCCTTCAGCGCCGAGCGCTGCCTCTCCCACCTCTTCCCGGCCTGCTACTGGGGCCGCCGTCCCAGGCACACCTCCGCCGTGGTCTGCGGCCTCATCTGGGCCCTGACGCCGCCCGCCGTGCTGCTGCCGGCCCACGCCTGCGGCCTGCTGGGGGGCCGCGCGCGCCTGGGGACCTGCCTGCAGTACCACGCAGCCAGCGTCACGTGGCTGCTGTCCCTGGTGTGCGGGGCCTGCGGGGCCGGCCTGGTGCTCTTCGTCTGGGGGGGCTGCTGCTCCCAGCGCCCGCGGCCCCAGTTCTTCGGGGTCACGGTGGGCTCCGCGCTCCTGCTCCTGCTCTGCGGCCTGCCCCTGGTCTTCTGCTGGAGCCTGCGGCCGCTGCTCAGCTTCCTGCTGCCACTCTTCCTCCCGCTGGCCACGCTGCTGGCCTGTGTCCACGGCAGCGCCAAGCCGCTCTTCCACTTCATGGCCGGCCGCCAGCCGGGCCCCCCGCAGCCGCTGCGGGCCGTGCTCCGGCGGGCCCTGGGGGAGCAGGCCCCCCTGGAGGCCGGGGGGCTGTCCCTGCCCATGGGCCTCCTGTAGCTGGCTGCCAGCCAGGGCGGACCCTTCCCCGGGGACCCCACGACACCCCGGCTCACCGGCCCAGGGGACCCCAGACTGAGGACAGGGCCAGGGCGGTGGTCCTGACCCCTGCAGCCCCCGGAGCCTGAGGAGGTCCAGGAGCCCGGGGGTGGGGAAGGACCCAGGGGCGCGGAGCAGCGCATCCCCAGGCAGAGCCCCCCCCCCCCCCCGGCTCTGGCCTCCTCCCCACCCTGCCCCAGCTCAGGCCGCAGGCGCCGAGGCGCACCTGGAAAAGCAGGGCTGACAGGTAGCCCCAGGGCCCAGAGGGGGGCTGGACGGACGGGAGCGCAGCGGATGGCGGTGCCCACGCGCTTGACTCTTCCTCCGCGAGAGGGGCGTGGAACCCGGCCGCGCCCCCGCCCCCCCAACCCCGGCGGCCGCGCCCCGGCACCCCAGCAGTTCCTCGCCGGCCGCCAGACAGCGCTGCATCCTCACCAAGTGCGGCGCGCGGGGCGGTGGCTGGGGCTCGCCGCAGGGGGCGGGCAGAGCCGCGGGGGGGGCGGGGCTCGCCGCAGGGGGCGGGCACAGCCGCGGGGGGGGGGGGGGCTCGCCGCAGGGGGGGGGCAGAGCCGCGGGGATGGGAGCGGGGCTCGCCGCAGGGGGCGGGCACAGCCGCGGGGGGCGGGGGCTCGCTGCAGGGGGCGGGCACAGCCGCGGGAGGGGCGGGGCTACCCTCCCGGCCCCGCCCCCGGCCGAGCGTCCCGGGCACCCTGCAGCGCGCAGGCTGCTGTGGCCCGCGACCCCCACCCTCATCCTCCGCACCTCCCCCGAGTCCTGCGCTCTTCCTCTCATCGCCCCATCCCTGCCCGCTCCTTGCAGACCCTCCCCTGCGCGGCTTGCCCTGGGGCTTTCCTCGTGAAGGAAGTGAGCGAGAGAGAGAGAGACAGGGAGGGACTGGGAGGGACAGGAAGGGGGAGGGAGGGACAGGGACAAGGGCGGACGGAGTGGGGGGGTGGGCAAGCAGCCAAGCTTTCTAGCTTTCAAAGTGCAAATCATTTTGTGGATTTTCGGACGATTGAAAAAAGGTAGCTCACGGCCACGGTCCAGCATTCAAGCCCCGCGGGAGATACTGAAACTCCGGAGCCAGAGGGAGGCGCTCTGGGTGCCAGCCCTTCGGCTCTATGTCCCCAGGAGGGACCCGCAGAAACGTGGGCTGTAACCAAAAGGAGGACACTGCCCCCACCCCAACTCTGTACCTGTCACAACGAAGCCTTTTCCAAGCCCAGGAGGTTTGTTCGAGAAAGTGGTCTGTGCGTCTCCCCGGAAGCGCCCCGCGGCTCCCTGCGGGAAGGTCAGGCCACGTTAAGAAGCGGAGAGAAGGAGGTGTCACCACCCACAACCCGGAGTCACCTGCTTCTGCACGTTTTCCATGCCCGGGGTGCGGGGTGCTGCACAGGACCCGCTCCGGCCACACCAAGCCTCTCACCCCCGGCCCGCCGGGTTTCCCCAGGCCTCGCACGCCAGGAGATGGCGGGGAGAACTCAGTCTGGTGGATGTGCGGCCAGGAGCAAACGCCAAGAACGAATTCTTGAGACTATTTCGGTGCAAAAAGGTTTTATTTAAAGCACAGGAACTTGACCCGTGGGCAGGAGGAGGGGCCCTGGGGCTGGGAGGGCTGGTGATCTTGTACTTTCAGGTTGGGAGGGGCAGAATAAAGGATGATTCCCAAAGCATCTTCATATGTTAAAGAAGACCCCCAGATCCCGGAGGGCTATTGTCAGGCTCGGATGACTTTTGCCAGTATCGTTAGCGGCTGAAGCTGGGGTTCCGAGGAAGGTGGCTCTGTCTGTCTCCCGTACTTGTCAGTGGGCTGCAGGATGTAAGGACGTTTGATTTTACCTACACTTCTTCGCCGTTGTTCTCGTCCAGTCTAAAGGCCGTCGTGAGGCTCTGGGAGTGTAGGGGAAGGGCCCTGAACCCCGAGAGGTCAGGGAGGCTGCTTTGGGGGTGGGATGCTGTGGGGTGCGAGGGGCTGCCCATTCTTGTGACGTTTCTTGCCAGACTGCAAAGAGGGGTGTGGCCTCCTTCTTGGAAGGCCTAGGAATGGGATGAGGGTTAGGGGAGCATTTTCAGAGCTGGGGTGCCCCAGGATCAGTCCCATCCTCCCAGCCCTAGAAAATAGCGGTGAGCCCCCTGTGGGGCCCTCCATCTGTCTGCTGGCAGGAACAGGTGGGGACAGGAGGAGACAGGCCGCTAGCAGTGTCTAGGGCTCGTGATAAACAGCCCCGTCTAGACGGATGAGGAGGGCAGGGGCTTCTGGCCAGGAACCTGCTGCTGCATTGTGGGGACACCCGCCTGAGCGCAAACAAGCCAGTGAGTGTCCTCGGTCCTGGAGGGACGGGGCTGTCACTGTGCTGGGCTCCCATCCTGCGGCACCTCTCTAGCTGGGTGACCTCCAGCAAGTCTCCTGAAAGCTCAGAGGCCCGGTCCGCATAGGGGGTGGGGCAATGTCTCCTTCCAGATCTGATTCAGAGCAACAAAGGCAAGGCAGCTTGTCCTTGGGAGAGGCCATCCCAGGTACCATCTGCCTCTCCTGACCTTCAGGGCCAACAGCATCACCTCCCATACCCAGCAGAGCTCCAGATGTCCGCAGCCAGCCCTGACCTGGGCACCCCACCACGCTCTTGGCGTGTCCCGCCCAGCTGTCAGCGGGCACGTGGTCTCAGGTGTGCCCCTGCGTTGGCTGAGCTCTCGAGGTGACCACCCGGTCCACAGGAGCCCCCACCTCCACCTCAGTACCTCTGTCCTGCGCCCTCAGTGGCTCCCCTGTCCTTGTCCGCAGCTCACTAGAAGGTGAGCTCCAGGGGACAGGGAACAGGTGACTTCATCCACTGCTGCCTCCCTTGAGCTGGGGGCTCAGACCGACAGGAGGAGGGGCTCAAGGAGCGACAGCCAGGTAGAAGCATGTGTGACACAGTCAAAGAATCAGTGATGTGGATGAAGCCAGGTATAGCTGAATGGACTCGGACCCAGCGGATCCCAGGTTCTAGAACCTTCCCAGGCAGCCTAAGTCATGACCACTGACCTGAACCCTGAGCGGGGTGTGGGTTACAGAGAGCCTGGGCTGAGCCCTGCAGAGTCCAGCCACCCCAGCCCCTGGCCCCCCTTAGCCACACCCTCCCCTTCCAGCCAACAGACATCATTAGAGCCAACTCCGAGCTGGGCATTGCACAGGAGCCCAAGACATGGATGTGCCATGGTGTGGCCCCTGGCCCCACGGAGTTTGGGGTCTGGAGAAGGGACAGTCATAAACACTGTTCAAAGACAGCTTGTGAGCGAGAGTGTACACTTACGTGTGCAGACGGCTAGGGAGGTACCCCAGTTTGCCCCGGACCATCCCAGTTCAGCCACATTGCCCTTGTGCCGTTAGAGTCCTCCTTTGTTCTCCCAAGTGTCCCAAGTGTCGTCCTCCAGGAATGACAAATCACCCGGTTGCCCAAGTGGGAGCGAAGCATGGAGGAGGGTCACATATCCCCACATAGAAAGCAGGCGGGCTTCCAGGAGGAGGGGGTATCTGCCTGAGCCTCACAAAGGTAGTGTGGGATGAGGAGGAAAGGACTGCCATCGGTGGGAGGAGGGGGAGGTCTGCTATGAAGAAGAGAAAGGTAGGGACCTCCACGGGAGGCCGCTGGCTGCTGGGCCCCGGGATGGGAGTGGGCGTGTACCAGACAGGGGACAGTGGACACCCCCGGGAAAGTGGGCACAGGCACACAAGCGGCCTTCCTCCCAAGTGCCTTTCCTGTGGTTCATCTCAAATTACGTGTGGCTGGTCTGACACGGTGGTCAAAGCTCCGTGGCTTCATTTGGTTTGGTTTGGTTTTCCCAAGCGGATATCCGGGCGTTCCAGCCCACTTGGAAAGAATTCCCTTCTCTCTTTGAATCGCATCGGCACCACGGTGTAAATCCATTGATCGTACAGGGCGGGTCTGTCTCTGACTCTGTTTCCCCAATCTACTGGCCTGTCCTTCTGCCAACACCACTGTGTCTGGTACCGTGGCGAGCTCCCATGTCCTAAAGTCGCGTGGTCCAAGCCCTACAGTGCTCTGTTTCTTTCTGGGGACCCGCACTTCGGCATACGTTTTAGAATCCGCCTGACGAGGTCTTCAGAAGCCCGTGGAAACTTTTACCGAGATTGCATTGAATCTGTTGAACAGAGAACGGGCATCTCAGCGACGGGGAGTTTTCCAATGAACGTGCACGGTTTGCCCCCGCACAGTTCTCTTCCATCGTGGTCTCCTGTATGTGCTTTGTAAGCCCCATTCCTAGGGACCTGAGGTTTCCGGATGCCATGTGGATAACCTCTGCATTTCATTTTCCAGCTGTTCGCCGACAGTGTCTTGGTTTTTTTATATTGATCTGACTTGCTACACGATCTAACAGCCATCCCGCCAAATGGCTAAATGTCCTGGCTGGTTCCAGCCGTCTCTTTGAGATGACTGAGCATTTCCTATGGACGCGATCCCACCATTTGTAAACGGAGATAGTCTCTCTACGTCCCGTTTTGGCGGACACCTGCCACGCCACGTTGAGTAGAAATCGTTGACGCGGACATCCTCGCCGTACCTCGATCCTAGAGGGATGATGTTTATTATTTTACCATTAAACACGATATCATCGGCAGGCCTTTTATTTCCTTTGTCATGTTGATCTCATTCCCATCTATTCCTAGTTTCCTGAGAGTTTGGGTTTCTGTAAGTCATGTACAGGTATTGAATTTTATCAAATGCTTTTTGTCATGTGTGAAGACAACAACGTCGGGACGCCTGGGTGGCCTCCGTGAGTTAAGCACCGATTCTTGATTTCGACTCAGGTCATGATCTCAGGGTCGTCAAATCGAGCCCCACGTTGGGCTCTGCATTGGCTGTGGTGCCTGCCTGGGATTCTCTCTCTCCCTCTTCCTCAACCTCTACCCCCTCACCCTCTCTAAGAAAGAAAGAAAGAAAGAAAGAAAGGGAGGGAGG